GCTCTGCAAACAAGTGTAAGTAGACCGTCTTTCACATTGGTTTCAGTATCCTTTAACAGCACATTTCAATAGTTTTATATATGCACACGCATTCAGGACTCCCTTGTATTTGTTTTTCCAATGGACATATCCTATTGTTGTTAAAGCCTAATTGTTACATTCTTTTTAACCTGTGGTCTATGGTGAGCTGACTGCAGGATACCAGCAGCTCTTCAGTGCTAGGAAATGGGTCTGAAAATATAAATCACTTTTTTCTTGGCATATACTAGACAGAGTCCAGGATACGTTTGCATTAGCAGTTGCCATATTGCATTAGGTTCTGTTGTGATTTGATTTTCAGTAAAAGGAGCAGGGCAAATGTATTATATAGTTATACAATTAAACATATTGTCAGACTGAGAGTGAAAGGATGTGGTAATGGAGAAACAGGGGATACGACAGGCTTTTCTTTGGAATGAGCAAATGTGGAGAGGTCATGTTAGAGACGGCAGGAAGTTTAAACGGAGTTTAAGGCAGTTGGTTGAGGAAGCACCTAGACAGAACAGTAGAAATCATGTGAGCAGGGAAGGTTGCTTTGACATGTTATGAGAGAGGGAATGATTGACTTGCTTGTGAAGCACCAGTAGGTAATTGGAGCTGGATTGGGGTGGGCGGAGAGATGCCTCAGGATCTGGTGTTGGAGCAGGTGAGAGGTGCTGAGCTGCAGAAGGCAAGAGAAATTTGAGAAAGAGGGTTTAGCCTTGAGAAAGAAGAATGACAGAAAAGTGACTCGGAGTAGAGGAGATTTGGTCCTGATTTAGCACCGTTTCAGTGAAGCTGTGTTTACCAAGAAAGAGTAGTAAAAACTGCTAAAATTTTTGCAGCCATTGTGCCTGGGTATCAAATGACTAGCAGTTATCGGCATTGTTTTCCCTTTTCCAAGTTTTTGATTCTTTCTTTCCTTTCCCTCATAAATATGAAAAGCTTCTTGAAGTTAATGTAAAGACTTTGGTTGATTTTTAGTGGACTATGGATAAGCTGCTTCTTATGTCATGGCTGAATGCTGATTTCTGAGCTGTTCTGGTTCCAGGCAGCATCTATAATTACATGTTATTATTTGAAAAATAATTCTTTTAATTACTTTCCAGAAAGGATGATACAAAAATAATCTATATTGTTTTGCTTCTTTTAATTGGAGAACTTTTCCATACTGTGATGTGCCTGAGTAGACCCATTCCATCATGTTCTCCATTTTTATTTTAAAGTCACTTGAAGAGCTAATACTTAGTTATCAGGCTATTTTCCTTGATTTCCAGCCACAGAGATTTGTTTTTAAATAATACTTGTCTTATTTTTCATAGCTGATGTGACTGATTCAGATTGGATTATTTCATTTGACCCAAACTGGGGCTGTGGTTCGAAGATCCAACCAATCTGTGGGCAGCCCTTTTTTCCTTTAATAGCAGACTAATTGGCAGACCAATTAATCTGCTCATCTGTGAAGAGAAAATTTATAGCAATAAGTAGTTCTATTTCCAGAAGTCATTCTCTAAAGTAACATTACAGTGGCCTTGTTTACTTCATGCCCTGCAACACGATCCAGTGCTTCAACAGTAGCATAGGTCAATTAGTGGACAAATTAAGCAATTATTAGCCACTAACAAGGGTGACTGGCATCATTACCCTTCCTGTTTACCAGCAAACTGTTATTTTAATACAAAGATCAACAAATAAATTAGGGCATCTGTTGTATTGCCATGTCTGCCTTGAAGTAAATGATATTAAATGGGCTTTGGTTGCTGCCAAATTCTTAACCCTGGTCTAATGCGATACACTGACATGTCTCTTGCTGATTATAGAAGCTGTAAAATTTAGTTTGTATTGATTTATTAACAGGAGGACCAAGTTCTCTACGATGGTATTTTCTTGATAGTCCGCTATCTGTCTTTTCACTTTAAATGTTATTGATCCAGAGACTGTTGGGTTCCTCTGAAAGACAAAGCTATTTGCTAATTGTATTGATTATTTGGATGTTTACAATAATTTTATGATGATGTTTGTATATGTAGATGTATGCTTTCATCTGATGCTTCTTTTATATTCTTTGGGAACTGCCTTTACTTCCAGCTTGTACTTATGCGAGTCAGTTATTTTTAACTCTTGCTTTGTATTTTTATCATGGGGTAAGACTTCTTCAGATTTAATTAATTGCCTCCAAAATAAGAAAATGCAGTAAATCTCTTTTGGACTGGGTGAACTTGGCTGCAGCACCCCATAACAGGTTGTGGTACATTGGGGAAGGCTGGGTGTCTTTTGCCACAAAGCTGCTGGGTGGCCAAGGTTAGTCTCCTCCCTTTAGCCTGGTATGCCTGGTGCAACAGTGAATCGTGCAGAGCAGAGGCTCACCCATTACATGTTTATACACATCGCAGGATGTTCTTCGTTAGGGAATAACAATTCCCCGTGTGAAGCTGAAAACTGTAGCTTCTAGTTGCCAAGACGCCTTTGCCAAGCTCTGTGAGTGAGGCTGCATCAGTAACAGGAGCAAAATGAGCAGGACCTGGACAAGCCTCTTCCCTGGTGCAGTTACAGCCAGAGCAAAGCTCTGAGAGTTTGGGCTCTGGTGTTACCTCCTGAATTAAAAACAGTCGTGTTATCCCCGAGGTATTTGTGGCCCTCCCTGTTGCATGAAGAGCTGTCACAAGTACATGCTTGGTGCACTGCTAGATCTCACAGCAAAACTGTTCTACCAAGGCCTTTGGTGAAGTGATGATTGTGTACGCAATGTGATTTTTATGCCACTTTTATTGTGACTGCTTTGAAAGTTCATACCTGACCTAGGATAAAGTATGTTCCGGACATACTGATTTCTGAATAGTTATCTCTTCCAAGTATTTTAGAAAACACAAACTGATGTGATGTTTTGAGTCTAGTTGCAAGCTCATTAAAACTAAAACCAGCATAGTGTCTCGAGAAGCCATGGACTAAGTGTGGGACTGTATCCCTTTAAGTAGTTTTGAGCCCTCCAGGTGTGCGTACTGTGGATTACGTTTTAGACACTGCCAGAAAACAGTAAAAGCAGCAGTTTAACATAGCTAAGCCTTTCATGTTTGCATATAGTTAGGAAACCTGGTTATTCAGGATCCAACTGTGTCCCTGTCGTTTCTCCGTGTTCTTGCTGTTGTATAATGAACACAAGACACACCGCCAGCCAAAAAGCACATCGATGTTCAGTTTCCTTCGTTGGGAGGAGGTAATTGCAGAAACATTTCCTGAGCAATATAATTATGTATATGCTAATTTGCCTCAGAAATTCAGGTATAGTCTCTTCTCAAGTGGAAGACCTGGTTACAGAAAGGGACTTTCTCTTCTTCAGGATTAGTCACTGATAGATGAAAAAATTGCTGATGTTTAGAGTCAATTATACCTTGATCATCTTAGACATTTCAGAAGCCTCATTTTTCTCTGCGTGCCTCAGCAAATTAGAATTCATTCCAACAGCAGCATAGGTTCAGATTTGTTAGTATTTGAAATACAAAATGGGCCTTAGGAAATAGGCTAGATGAAGGAGTTGTACAGAATGCGAGATTTTGGTCCCATCTTTAATGTGTGTTTCAGCCAAGCTATAAACAAATGTGTTTAACCTGGCATGTATCTGGGTTTTAGTTTGTTTGTTTCTAAAGATTTTGATTGCATCACAAAATATCAGGTGTAAAGTCAGCTTTTTGAAGTCAGCTAGTTAGCCCATGCCATCTCTTTGACACTGAATTGTTGCTTGTTATATCTATTCCCTAGGGCTTTGCCCTGTCCAACGTTAAACCTTTCTGATGACGGGGTTCCGATCTTTCCCTGGAGAGACAATTCCACAGTCTAATAGAGCTCGCCATTAGTGAAATTTTACTGATGATCAGCCTTAATTTTTCTCTGCATAATTTTATCCTGTTACTAGAGCGTAGTGATTGACTTATTCTGGGGAAATTCAGTAAATGGTTCCTGCTTCACAGGATGGACCTTACAATAAATAGCAAATTGTCATGACCTATCTGTGGGTGTCCTGAGATTACACAGGAACTCAATTTATCTCGACATTCACTCCCTGGAAGCTATTTCTGTCAGTACCAACTCAGTGGAGGAATAAGCAATGAATTTAACTGCCAGACTGCCTGCCTCCTGCCCCAGCACCAGCCTTGGAGCAAGGAGATGTTTAGTCGCTCCCTGAGCACAGGACCCAGAGGCAGGAGCTCCTGCAGGGTCTGGTGCTGTGACTGTGCCCAAAGGAAGGGCATTTCGGATACAGTTCCCCTGTCACTTGCCTTGGTTCCACATCAAAGGAGCTTCACCGATGAGGTGGAGTTACTCCTAGTTTTTATGAGTGTAGAGCAAGTGAAGAATCTGACCTTATCAATTCCAGTCTATCAATCCAGCAGTTTCCCTGTGCCTGGTACAGAGTTCATGTAACTCTCCCAGTTTTAGTGGGGCATTTTATACCTCCTTATGCATGTAGATGATCTGAACTCTGTGTTCTTATGTCAAGGGTAGATCTGGGCATATGCTCAAACAAATTTGAGGTGCCTCAGCTGAACAAATTGCCACTCATGAGCTGAGATGCAGTACATGCCCACGTATGTGTGCTGGGTATGTAAGGTACTAGGCTTAAACTAATAGGTTTTACTTCATTTCACCATTTAGGAGGAGAAATGTTTTGCTGTTGTGGCTCAGCTGACGGGCAGTAACTTCTCCCTCTGTGGAAACTTGATTGTGTCTGATAATGTAGCTATACTGTACTTGTATTATGAGGATGGACTAAGGTATTTATCCTTAAAGTTCTTATTTCTAGAGTTTTTAGAAGGTGGCAGGTGCTATGTGATTACAAGTGGTTTGTTCTGTTGGAAGCGGGAGCAGTGCCAGGAACCAAGAGGAATGATCATTCTAATCTTTTATATGTGAAATTTTAGATAGATATCTGGAAATCATTGATGTTGTAAACCACCCTCTTCAAACTCCTCTTTCATTTTTCTCAGGTATAATTGATTTCCTTGTGAGCCAGCATCCTATTGCAAAAGTACTGAGAGACCACCTGGTCTTCAAGATTGCCCCCATGCTCAACCCTGATGGAGTATACCTAGGAAATTACAGGTATGGTGTGGAGTATGAATCTGGATATTGTTATATCTACCTTATACATCCTGTGCTGTTTTGTTACTGAATCCTATATGGTTCATTTCAATTCATTCCTCTTAAACTGGAGGTTCTCATGTGGCTGTATATTTCCTGAAGTTCCTGTTGAAGAATGGGGCTCAATGGCAAATTTGATTTGCTTGCTTCAGGAGGTAGAGAGCAACTCTCCAAGATAGCAGGGTATCTGCTCTGCAAGCCTCCTCTAGATGTGGGAGTTAAAGTCAGCTTAGAGTTAGACCTTAGCTGTGTGTTATAAATGCATTCATTATGCTGCTCATCAGCCTCTATGTAAATGTGTCAGTCAATCACAGTTCCCTTCAACTACCCAGATCATCCATTAAAGTCACAGATTTCAGTCTATTATTGTACTGTAATAGATAGGGATACATGGAATGGAATAATCATTCCACCCTATGCTAATTTTGCTTCATTTTAGTATTTGAATTACTACTTTACTACCTCCTCTGTTGAGAACATATTCAGATAATCTTTTGTTTTCCCTAAAATTGTTTGCTCTTAATGCATTTATTTACAAAATAAATGTGCTGCTGGAGGTGATAATGAAAAGCAGTTGATTAGCTGATGATTTGTTTGTGGGGGCAATTACATCTACCACATAGTTCTCTGGAGAAGCCCCTGAGAAATGTAATATACTGTATGTAGTTTTGCTTACAGCGCAAGACTAAATAACACAATAGACTCTGTAGCCAGGCTACCCTGAGCTTTGATCTAATTAGATATTGCATTGCTAAGCAGAATAAGACTGGGTTATTGTGTGGATGAGGAGAGCACTGAAGAAGTAGCTAGAAGTTGCAGAAAATGGTGCTGCTGTCTCTGTCGATTGTTTTGATATCTGCTTCTTAGTCCTCCTGTGCTTTGCTTCTTACTAAACTGAAATAGCAGAGAATCGCGTGGGTGATTTCACAACGCTTATATACATGTTTTATAAGTGAAACTTCCGAGGACACGTGGTCTCCCTGCAGCTACACTGATACTCCCTCAACTCTTGGCAAATCTAATGCTAGAGAATGATACTGCAGTAGTAGCATCTGACAGCATTAGGAATTTATCATAATGGTTATGTCACCTTACAGGAATAAAGCCCTATAATGGCTCTAAAATCTGATGCTACATTGCTTTATGCTGTTCCAGGTACCCTGCACGTAGGCAACTCCAGTTGCAATTAAGTAATTTTTGTTTTCCCCCATAAATTCACTTGCCCTGTAGGTTTTTCTCCTGCACTATTACTTATACCTTTTGAGAGGCATGCAGCTTTACAGACATGCATATGGCTTATAACTTGAAAAGCCTTTTGGGAACCCAGGTATTATGAAAGAGCACGTGAATTCATTTGGAATTGCTGAGCCTGATGGTATACTATTGTTTTAGCCTTTTGTGATGTGCAGAATTTTCAACCCTCCTGAACTTTTAATGAAGTAGTTGGAAAAGCATTTGATTTTCTTGCAATTCTTCACTTTATTTACAAAAAGCCTAATGTAACTAATAACTTAATAATGAGGGTAATAAGCAAAATGCTACCTATTGTCTTGAGAAGAATATTAAAAAGCCTAGTAATGTGCCGGCGTTGTAGTTAACTAGTGCTGAGTGAATAATTTACAGCAAACACTTTATTTTCTGCTCGTACAAAATCCGCAAGCACATCACAATTTATTTGCTTGAATTTACTGGATGAATTTTTAAAAAAAAAATAAATCTCTAAGGATCAATTGCTACTATTTGAAAATTTAACACTGAGGCTTCTATGTGATTGTCCTGATAAGTCTGTTTCATCTCTTTTGGTCTTTGTTGAGATTAGCACATAAATAGGACTTTCAGAAGTCTTCCACGTAGCATGGTATAACACAGATCTATTGGCTGGGGACAATCCCTCTGCTTTTGCAAACAAGCTGTGTGGTGCCATATGCAGCAAGAGCAGGTTTAAGCATTTGAACTTCTCCTTCCTGTTATCTCCCTCTTTCTCAAAGCAGCAGCTAGTGACTATTTCTTTGGTTCATTGAAGGTTCACATTCAGAGCTATGCAAGCTAAGATAATGAAATGGGTAATTAAACTTCATGCTTGAGTTTGTAAATTGATCTCATGCCAGTGTGTGAGAGATTTCTTTTTTACCCCACCAGTACACAGCTTTGTGCAATTGGCAAAGTATACTGTCGGATGCACTTTTGCTGTCCTCTGAAATCCCAGGTGTGGTGGGCACCATTAAAAGCCTGAGTATATCAGCAGTTCTTGTAGAAGGGAATGGGATATACTAGTTCTCCTGTGATCAAAACAGGAACTAACCTTTCATTTACACAGGATGATATGGTATCAGCTGGCTGATGGGATTTTCTTCATTGTCATTTTTGGAGATGCAGGACTTTGACAAAGGGCTTGGGTCCTGCGCTCTTCTCCGAAAATCCTTGTTCCTTTGTTCTGAGTGCTTGTGAACTGAGGTTTAGGAGTTTAAGCCAAAACTGCAACAATAATGCCAAGAATTATCTATTATCTATAAACTGTTTCTCATTCTCAAGAGAACAGATCCAAATGGGTTGTGACTCTAAGGGGACTTTCTTGTGGTGAAATGTTCATAACCAGCAACAAGTGAGTTTAATATCACAGCTGTAACGCACAAGTGCTAACGGCACAGACACATCTGTGTTATTGATATGTCGTGTGTACATTCAGGCGGCTCTAAACTAAATGGTCATGGAAATGAACAACAATGCCCAGATGCATGGAAACAGGGTGCTAAACTTTACTGATTTATTCAAGAATATTCAAGAGCTTAAGAAGTGTATTTGTGGACCCATGCAGTTAGGAATGAAAAGATAAGGTGCCTTGTGTGACTTAAAGGGGTAGTTAAGCATCCCCTCTAATTTAGAATGTTTGGAAGTTCTATCCACAATTTTGAAAAGTATTTTTCAAAAATAAATGGACAAAAGTTGCAATGTGATTGTAATCTTAGAGCATAAATCTTTTAGTAGGGAGTGAACTAGTATGGTTCTCTCTCTTAATAGCTATAACTTACATCCAGGAACCAAGAGAGTTGGTGAAATTACCTCTACTAGACTTTATTTCCAGTTACATTCCTGACTGACTGTTTAAAAATCAGAATGTTCAATTTTTGATTTCACCTGTTTCTTTCTGAAAAGAGCTGAGAAATGAAAACTGACGGGCAAACCGCACTACAATAGATCAGACTCGGCTGGGTGCAAGTGTCGGAGGGGTTAGGTGCAGAGAAGTGGAGCCCTCAGAGTGTGAATTCACCTGCAAGCCAAAGTACTGAATGGCTAATCGGGATTGCTCCTGCTTGCAGTGCTAGCTGCTGTTTGCTGGTTTGCTGGCATCGTACCCTTCTGTGAGGATGGCTACTACACTGCACTCTTTCTTCAGCGAAAAAAAGCTTCCATAGTCCTTTTCTTGCCACACGACTATACCCAACTCTTTCTAACATACAGAATAATGACAGGTACCTGCTGTTTACTGTGGTCAAGGATGTAGGCTCTCTCCCAAAACAGGAAGACAGGCTTCATCCCTTTCTTGACATCTTTAAAACCTGGTATTACCATATTTCTAAATGTAACTGGCTTTGCAGTTACAGTGTGTAGAAAAAGTTATGCCACGTGGGCTTGTAAATTAAACTGCCCAGGAAGATGTCATCGGTTGACCTAGCTAAAATAGTGAGTCTTCAGCATAATTTACCCTCTGTTCTGGATGGTAACTTGTCCTCAGCTCTCACCTGAATTGAAAGACCTCTATTGCTGGGGATGGTGTGTGACTTGATCTTTAGCTTAGTGAAAGAACATGGCACACACACAAAAAAAGTGAGTTTCTCCATAAAACTAGTGCTGGGAAGAGAAATTTCTTGACTTTTCTCTCTCTATTTGTGCTATAGCATCATCATCTTCTGAACTTATTCTCGTCCTCAGGGAGGTGGGGTTGGACTAAGAAAAAAACCGTATTCTTGATTTAAAAGTCGTGCATCCCCAGGCTTGGCCTGAACTTTCCTTTATCGAGAGCTTGTTCTTAAGCTGGCATTCTGCAGCTGAATGCTGAAATGTGTCCCTGCAGGCAAGATGACTGTACCACACCATCTTAGATTAGTTCCAATTTGTCAGCCTCGCCTTCCGAAGATGAAACCCTATACTGGCACCGAAAGAGATGTGTTTCTTAGTCTGGACAGCTCTTCAGTGAGGTATCCCAGAAATGCCATGACAAGGCAGCTGAAATATCCTGACCGTTCTCTAAAGGCTTTGTTGCGTGACCCGGTAAGGCTTCCCATTCCTTGCTGTTTCTCTGTTGCCCTCAGTTGGTTAGCTGTGACAGTATCAGCCTTCAGTAAATTAAAGCCATGAATTAGCTGAAATGTTCTGAACTGTCATCACTACGATACCCTTCTAGCTTGATTGTAGGGACTGCAAGAATTTGTGTGAATGGGGAGAAGGCAGCACACACTGATTCTAATCCTTTCTTGTTTCACTGTCAGGTATGATATTTCTGAAGTCAACACAATCTCTGCTGCTTGCTTGTGTGAGGGGTTAACAAAGCAATTTGTTGGATGGAAAGGAGGCCAGTCCTACCCAGACCGGAAAGCCAAATTCACCATAAACAGTGTCAGAGTCCATATTGCAATGAAAGCTGTGTTGGGAGGAAATGTTATGGACAAATGGTGTATTTTTGCCTCAGAAACATAGATTTGTAAGGACTGAAATGGTTTGTGGAAGTGAGTTGAATTTGGCAAATTGTTTCAAGTGAAAAAAGGGAGCTGGTAAGGCATGAGAAACATTTATAAAATGCTGATATGGATAATTTTAAAGGAACATCTTCTCTTGTTTTTGTTTAATGGCATGATTTGTTTAAAAACTGGCCTTTTTTAAAGTTATCTTTTGAAGAGTCTGAAATACAAACAGAAAACTAGACTTTGGACTAGATGACATAGTTGAGCTTTATCCTGAATAGG